CTCTCTCTGGCGACCCAGCCAAGCTCATCTCAAATATGCCAATAGAAGAGGACTCTTTCACTCCGGCCTGGAATCTCCTACTCTCTCGATATGACAACGAGAGATTACTCATCACGTCTCAGTTGGAGAAGTTGCTGAATACAACTAAGATCGCGGTACGCTCAGCGAAGGAGCTCAACAACCTGATCACTTCCGCAACCGAAGCATACAACGCACTTCAGGCTCTAGGTTGTCCAGTGGATCAATGGGATCAGGTCTTGGTGTACTCCCTCTCTCAGCGACTGGATCCAACAACCCGTGAGGCGTGGGAGAATGACATTGGTGCATCGCCCTCGTTCCCTAATTACACAACCTTTAAGGATTTCGTGATTGGCCGTGCACGCGCCTTGGAAAGCATTGAGATGGACTCACCAGCCTCGACAGGTACCAAGACACGAACCAACACAAAATCAACTAGCCCGTCTCAACAATCAGCGCACGGAACCAGCTCAAAGAAGGTGTACACCGCCAAACCGACAGCTGGCACGTCTCAAAACTCTGCCGGTTCTTCTACGGACATGAAGAAATATCCTTGCTCTATGTGTTCGAACGAGCATTACGTTGTTGGTTGCCCGCAATTCCGACAACTCACGCCGGAAAAGAGAAGGGAGTTAGTTGTTTCCAAGCACTTATGTTTTAATTGCTTAGGAAACCATAGTGTCAGAGCCTGTCAATCATCAAAGAGATGTCAACTCTGTAACGAGAAGCACCACACGATGATTCATCTTAACGCCACATCTCCACCCAACAACGCAACCAAGAATGCCTCACCTCAACCGTCGCAGGTTTCCTCATCAAAACAATATCCAGCTCAACGAACGGAGACTGAAGAATGACAGTTTCCCCCCCCTGCCAGCATCGTCTTACTCTGCTCAGCAAGCGGATCAGAAGTCACACTCCGGAGTGCTTCTGGCAACCACTCTGGCACTGCTCATGCTGAAGACCGGTTCTTCGCACCAGGTACGTGCGCTCATTGATCCCGGGTCTGAACTCTCATTTGTCTCAGAGAACTTAGTTAAACGTCTAGCTCTGACACGGACTCACTCAAGGATATCCATTGCTGGTATTGGAGAAACTGCATCAGGAACAACGAATGGAATTACGCAGCTCACCCTGAAGTCCCGTCACTCCAACACTAAAGTAACGTTCCGGGCTCACATCCTAAAACGGCTCACATCGACATTGCCATCCTTTTCAGCAGGTAAGCGTCATTGGTCACACCTAGATGAGCTCACTCTTGCTGATCCCGGATTTCTCACTCCGGGGCCCATCGAGATTCTGATAGGAGCGGACACGTATGGCCGGATACTGGAATCGGAAGTGGTAAAGGGAGAACCACACTCACCAGTAGCCCAGCGTACGACGTTCGGATGGATCATCTTTGGCCCAACGGAGGTTTATCATCCTCACCAGACCATCTCACTACATGCATCAGTGGACAACCAAGTACTAAACGACCTACTCACCAAGTTCTGGACGCAAGAAGAACTCCCAACTCCAGAACAGGCGGAATACTCTCCACCCGAAGCCGAGTGTGAGGCTCACTTCCAGCGAACTCATACAAGGGACAGCTCTGGTAGATATACTGTACGATTACCGCTTTGTTCATCTCCTTCCTTACTTGGAGAGTCCAAGGCACGTGCCCGGTCATGTCTCACCAGCCTACTCAACCGGATGTCCAAGAAGCGACGATACGCTCAACTCTACGAGGACTTCCTACAAGAATATGCCGATCTGGGGCATATGACGCCTCTCTCTGACTCTGCTCACCAGACATGCTCATATTACATACCTCATCACGGTATTCTCAAGGAAAGTAGCGAGACAACCAAACTCAGGGTTGTCTTCAATGGGTCCAGTAAGACTAGCTCCGGAACATCGCTCAACGACATCATGTACACCGGAGCTAAGATACAACGGGACCTCTCGGATGTGCTATTGTGGTCACGGATCCACAAGCTCATCTTCATGACGGACATAACCAAGATGTTTCGTCAAATCAAGGTACATCAGGGCGACTGGCCACTCCAACAAATACTCTGGACGGACTCCACGGGCCAAGTCACCACGTACCAACTCACTACGGTCACGTACGGCACAAGATGCTGCTCCATTTCTGGCCGGACGTGTTCTCCAACAATTAGTAACGGACGAAGGAAATAGGTTTCCCTTGGCAATCTCTCCACTAACACAAGGAAGGTATGTGGATGACATCTGCGGTGGCGCGGAGACAGAAGAAGATCTACAAGAGGTCGCTCAACAAGTACAAGGCCTTTGCTTCGCGGGCGGATTTCAGTTAGCAAAATGGCACAGCAACAGCTCCACACTCGTTGCTTCTGTCGCTCCCAAGGATCTCTCACGGGAGCAACCCGATGAATCTCTCACGCGGATTCTTGGACTCTCCTGGCTACCTACGGCGGATACGTTCTCATTCTTCATTAACCTTCAAGAAGACTCACCAATCACCAAGAGAACCATACTTTCCGAAATGGCACGACTGTTTGACCCTCTTGGTTTCCTCTCGCCGGTGTTAATCAGGGCCAAGATCCTTTTACAAGGACTGTGGATAGAGAAACTGGGGTGGGACGAACAACTCTCACCTCAGACAACTCACCAATGGACTCAATTCAGGGAAGAGCTCACTCAATTAGCGGACATCTCCATACCCCGGTGGCTCGGACTGGAGAAAAACTCCACCGTAGAACTACACGGGTTTTCGGATGCATCTCAACTGGCCATGGCCGCAGCGGTTTACCTCAAGGTCTCAACTACCCACGGAACACGAGTTACCCTGGTCTGTTCAAAAACCAAGGTTGCTCCCCTCAAGAGGCTCACCATTCCTCGACTGGAGCTCACAGCGGCAGTTCTCCTGACCAAGCTCGCTAGGTATGTACGAGATCAGCTCCATCTCACCAACGTACCCGTGTTTCTCTGGACAGATTCTTCGGTCACGCTCACATGGTTACACTCTCATCCATCAAGATGGAAGGAGTACGTCAGAAACAGAGTCTCGCTCGTTCAGGAAACAGTCTCACAAGGACAATGGCGCTTCGTGCCTGGCAAGGAGAACCCAGCCGATTGTGCATCAAGGGGACTCACGCCGAAACAATTAACACATCATCATTTGTGGTGGAGCGGCCCACCTTGGTTGAAGGACAATTCTTCAAGGTGGCCATTACTAACGACATCACCGGATCTCGCTGCGGATCTTGAGGAGAAGCCTGGCGTCCTTCTCAACGTTGCAACTCAACAAACTAATATCTGGCAACTCGTGAACAGATATTCCTCGCTCACCAAGCTGCTTCGGATCACGGCGATCTGCAAGAGATTCGTCTCTACACTCAAGAAGCTACCCGGCTCCTCTCTTGCGACACCGCTCACTCCTAGCGACATAGACGAAGCTCGACTCTATTGGATTAAGGCCACTCAAACAGCATACTTTAAGGCTGAACTCAAGACGATCTCCAGAGGGCAGCAGTTCAAGAAGTCACACCCTCTGACCCGATTAACGGCCTTCATTGACCAACACGGAATCTTGCGAGTTGGTGGACGGCTACGCGCGGCAAATCTCGATCTGGATAGCAAACATCAAGTTATTCTTCCGAAGGAATCTCACCTCGCTCAGCTCATTATTCGTGACGCCCATGAGAGAACACTTCATGGCGGAACGCAACTCACATCAGCTTACCTCCGACGATCCTACTGGATTATTGGAGGAAGAGCCCCGGTGAGATTTTACATTCTCAAATGTGTACGCTGTGCTCGTCAACGTGGCGTGCGAGCACAGCAACTCATGGGACAACTTCCAGCCGCTCGACTCACTCCCTCTCGAGCTTTTCTACAAACAGGAGTTGACTACGCTGGCCCGGTCTCACTCAAATCATGGACAGGACGTGATCACAAAACCCACAAGGGTTGGATGGCCATTTTCGTGTGTATGGTCACCTCAGCCGTACATATCGAGGTAGTCTCCGACTACTCTACAGAAGGGTTCATCTCAGCGTTCCGAAGATTCATAAGTCGCCGGGGAGTTGCTCAACACTTATACAGTGATCAAGGAACCAATTTCATTGGCGCAGATAAGGAACTCAAACGACTCTTCACCATTGGAACAAAGGAGGCAACCCATCTCTCCACCCTTCTATTGAACGACGGGACTCACTGGTCTTTTAATCCTCCTGGAGCACCCCACTTTGGTGGGAAATGGGAGGCCGCAGTAAAGTCGGTCAAGTTCCATCTCAGGAGAACCATCGGTGAATCTCCTCTCACATTTGAAGAACTCACCACTTTACTAGCTCAAATCGAAGCGTGCTCAACTCACGACCATTGGAACCACTCTCGGATGACCCGGATGATCTCTCTGCGCTCACCCCCGGGCACTTTCTCATTGGCGAGGCTCCAAGCTCTATCCCTGAACCTTCACTGGAACATCTCAACATTTCGCGACTCTCTCACTGGCAGAATGTACAACAACGGATGCAATCGTTCTGGAAAAGGTGGTCCACCAGCTATCTGCAACAACAGCAGTCTATCTCAAAGTGGCATCACCCTTCCCACAACATTATGATTGGCTCAATGGTTCTGCTCACGGACGAAAGGTTTCCACCAGGAAAATGGCCCCTTGCTCGGGTCATCGCACTCCATCCTGGAGCTGATGGTCTCACCAGGGTAGTGACGATCAAGACAGCCACGACGACCTTGGACAGACCCATCACCAAGCTAGT